AGGCGGGCTGGGCTCCGTCACGGCCTCTAACACAGGAGACTGTGAGTATCTGCGGCCTCAGCTTTCCCCCGAGGCCCTACAGCGCGCCCGGAGCTCCAGGAGAGGGCGGCAGGAGTCGGCTCTGTAGGGGAGGGAGCGGGTCTGCCGTCCGGAGGGTCCGAGCCACGTTTGCCGAGTCACCGTGAGAGGCAAAGACTCGGCTCAGACCACGCCCGCCTCCGTGCCCCGCGGAACTGCGTGGTAGCTCAGCTGTCCCCTCAGCCGCGTTGCCTGGCATGAGCGGAGAGTCGGGGACGCTGGCTGCGGTTCCTCCATCGCCCTCCCGGCTCTGCAGTGGTGCGAGGAGGGGGTAAGTGGAGCAGGCAGGCGCTGGAGCCAGCCCTTGCTCTGCACGCCAGGGCTCCAGCAGGCGCTGGCCCGTGTCCTCGTTGTGCTTTCTTTGGCTCCCCCGAGGGATTGTGCTGGGTCCCGCAGTTCGGTTTCACATTGAATTCAGTGCTAGCCGAGCAGTGCCTTATACGATGTACTCTGCGGAGAAGTGGAAGGAAATGTTTTGTTTAAAAAAAAAAGTTTCCTCCAACTTCTAAAAGTGTGCGGACCCCGGACCCCTACATGCTGAATGGAGGTGCAGATCCCTTGGAAACTTTAGACATAGTCTGAGGCCCCCCAGGAGTCTGCAGAGCACAGGTTGAAAACCATTGACAGAGACAGGAAACAGGAAGTGCTCTTCTAGGACAGTGGTTCTGAACCAGGGGTCTGGAGCCCCCCCGGGGGGGGGGCACGAGCAGGTTTCAGGGGGTCCACCAAGCATTGCCTGTGCTAGACTTGCTAGGACCCAGGGCAGAAAGCCAAAGCCCTGCCGCAGAGGATTGCAGCCCCGGGACCCCCAAGCCCCACCACCCAGGGCTAAAGCCGAAGCCTGAGCAACTTAGCTTAGCAATGCCCACTGTGGCATAGGACCCTGCGCAATTGCTCTGCTTGCTACCCTCTAACGCCAGTTGTTGTGGCACTGCTGGGCCGTGGAGTTTTTATGTCATGTTGAGGGGGCCTCCGAAAGAAAAAGGTTGAGAACCCCTATTGTAGGAGATATTGGTACATTCAATTAAAATATTTTTTTACAAGCATATTATCCTTCTCAAAACAGATTTCTGTTGACAACAAATCTCTAGCAGGTAGGGCTGATTCTCCTCTGCCTTTTCACAAGGTGCAGAGTGATCACTTTTTGGAGGAAGAATAAAACTTGTATCTCAAGCAACTATTCCTGTTGCTTAAAATTTCTGTGATGCTGTTTCCACTGCATGTTCTTTGCTGCAGTCCTGTCAGCTATCTGGGGGGCAAGAGATAGTCTGTAAGAAGATGAGCTGTACAAGTGCCTGTTTCAAACTGTTCTGAAAGTTCGTCGTCAGACCATACATATTCTGGCTTCTGTTTTACTCATTGTTAGTACTTTGGGTACATGATTTGTCTCAGTGATTTCAATGGGACTATTTAAGCCTTTGCAGGATCAAGTCCTTATTTTCTACAGGTAAGGAGCTTTTGTGACACCCTTATTGTTTCCCTTGTTCTTAGTGTGGTGGGTGTTTTTTCCCGAAGAAGCAGCTCTGCTATCTAGGATGGGATCCAAGCTCTCAGTGGATGACTCAGTGCGTGTTGTGATCATTGGAGGAGGTTTCGGGGGAATCGAAGCTGCCAGACAACTGAAGTCCTGGGGAATCCCTTTTGTTCTTGTGGACATGAGAGATGCATTCCACCACAATGTGGGTGCTCTCCGGGCCTCTGTAGAGAGTGGTAACTTTGCTTTTTCCTAAAGTCTGTCGACCATCTCTGGTCCTTGAAATATGTTTACCCTACTGGGATATGTGGAGCTTCTTTCTGAAAGATAAACTGCGCAGGTTTAAAAAACTCTTGTAAGATTCCAAAATAGAAAAATATCTCTAGCTGTGGTTAAACTAAGTTATTTCTATATTCTGATAAAACTTGAGACCACTACTGCTTTCTGAGAAACCTGAGCTGCAGACTTGTGATTCACTTGCACAGTGACAGCACAAATGAAGTTGTTCCCACTAATAGTTATCTGCAAAGGCAAATTTGTAGAGTTATGCCAGCTGCGAGTTTGCACAGGCATTTGTGAAGATTTAAAGATACCATAAACAAGACCGTGAAAGATGACTGCTACTCTAAATTGCTATCTTAAGCCTCTTTGATACTTAGAATGTTACTCCAACAGCGGGGGCATGAGCCCTGTTGCTGAGATTCCTCAGGATCTTAGGGCTCATCTGCACTGGGGTTTTAGTGACATGGTTTTGCTGAGGGCCTTGCAATATTAGGCTTTTTCCTTTAGAGCCCCAGCTCCAGTAGTAATGGAATTACTTGAGAATCTCAGTTTAATTACATTGAGTTTTAGTCCTTAAGGTTGGAGAGAGGCGTGACAATGTGACACCGAAAGCTCAACATCCCGAAGGCAAATAAGAACTTTCAGCTTAACTTCTAAAAAAAGCAAATGATTTTAGAGCCATTCATCTTTAGTTGTTTTTTTGGTGGCGGGAGGAAGGACAGGGTAGGGTAGGGTGTCAGCTGACTTATGTAGCTTTGTGTGAGTGAGTGTGAGAGAATGCTTGGGGCTGGCAATACTGGTGTAGCTATGCCAGTTCAATCACCCTACTGAAGACATGCTGCCTGGGTGTAAAATATGACTGGTAATGTACTGACTTTCTCTTCTCAATAGTGATCAGTTAGTTTAAAAAACAAAAATCCCTTCCTCTCAGCCTGCCTCAGTGTTCCAGTACATATCCTGGTCCTGGACTTAATGTAAAAAGTCATAAAAGAAATGCTGTCAAATAGCATGAGACCAAATGTAGATCTACAGTAAAATGGTATGCCTCCCAACAGCTAACGTCTTTGTCTAATACATTACTGTGCAGCTGAGACAGTTTAAGGAAAAATAGCTCCTGTTGTGGCCCATGATTACCCTGCAAGGAATAGCATGGTTGTTCTCCAACTCTTTCATTCTAAATTTGACTGCACACCTTGAGAGAGACTTTCAGGGGCCTACCTCCCCTCCAGCCCCATAACCCTCCAGTGGTCTGGTGTCAATATTCATTCTGTGGTTCACTGTATAGGGTTCTACTAGAGGTCCATGGACCATAGTAGGAAAATTGCTGAACTATCCCAAAAGTTAAGATGGCTTTGCCTTGTTGGCTTGAGTTGTGGTTTTCTTATGAAATACTTCTTCCCTCAGTCACTTGATTCCAAAGGAATCTGGCAGTTTGCCAATCCTGCATAAGCCTTTGTCTACACACACAACAAAGCTATAAGTGTCAGTATAGACAGGACTCAATTTCTGGCTTGGCTACATGAGGACTTTCAGGAAAACTAATGCAAATTAAGTAAAGGTGTGAATTTGAAGTGGATTAGTTAAATAGCAGTAAACCTCTGTGTGAACATTGTCATTGAGGCTAGGTCTACACTACAGACCTATATCGATTATAAAATGGATGAAAAATCCACATCTGAGCAACATAGTTATACCGACTGAACTTCCCTGTATAGACAGCTTTATGTCAATGGGAGAGCTTCTCCTGTGAATGTAGCTACCGTCTCTTAGGGAGGTGGATTAACTATGGGAGAAGCTCTCCTGTCAGCAGGGGCATCTTCACCTACAGAATTACAGCTGAACCAGTGCAATTGCACCACTGTACATGAAAATAAGCCCTCTGAATTAAAGTGGTCTTAATTCCTTTTAGTTTAATTCACTTTCAAAGTGAATTAAACTAAATTAAAGGTACTTTAATAAAAGCATGCACACAGGGATTTAATGAAGTTTAACTAATCCACTTCAAATTCACACTTTACTTAATTTGATTAGTTTTCCAGGATGTCGCTGTGTAGAGACACCCTTAATTGTATGCCTGCCTTTTTCAGTTCTTGTCAACTGAAGCAAAAACTTTCTGGGTTCTACTGTGTGGCAGAGAGACTAGATGTCAGGACACTAGTGCCATGGAGCAGGCCTTTATTTTGTGTAACAAGAAAGCAAATTCTTATAACCAAAGGAGGGCCATTTGAATAGGACTTCTGGAAACATAGTGGAAAATGGGGTTTCTAGTCCCCCTACTTTCCTTTTTTCTTAACCAGTATATAGGTGGCATTATCCTCCTTTCATTGCAGGATTTGCCAAGAAAACCTTCATCTCTTACTCTGTGACCTTTGAGGAGAGCTTCCGACAAGCCAAGGTGGTTGGAATAGACCTACTGAGGCAGAAAGTCTTGCTGAATGATGATGAGGTGAGTGCATTGGGGACAGACTGACTAAATGACCTCCAATGAATAATTTTACTCTGCAAATGCAGCAGTGAGCAGATGATTTTCTTCTCACTCTCATGTTCAGATTTACTGTTTCTTTACAGGGTTTATCTCTTTGGACTGATTGCAAACTACTAGCTGAGGGAATACCACCTGAAATTCAAGTGGTGTTGAAGTTCCAACTCTTTTGAATTTCAGACGTATCACCTGGATAATTGGGGTTTGCCTATGTACCCATGTGTGGTGCAAATACTCACATAGGTGCTGACTTACCAAGTTGCCAGGGGTATGTGCTCAAACCCTGCTCCGCCCCAGGCCCTACCCCCGCTCCACCCCTTTTCCTCCAAGCCCCGCCCCTGCCTCTTCCCGCTCCGCCTGTGCTCCACCCCTTTTCCTCCAAGCCCCCACCCTGCCTCTTCCTGCCCTGCTGTGCCCCAAGCCTCACCCCTGCTCCACCCCTTTTCCTCCAAGCCCTCAAGCTCCGCCCACCCCTCCCAACCCCGGCTTGGTGTCCAGCCGCCTGACCACATCCCTCTCCTACTGGTGCTATGTGCTGCTGCCCTGGTCTTCGGCCCCAGCGCTAGCCCCGCTCCCACCTGCCCCCACGAGGCACACTCAATGCACCTGGGGCCGGAGACTGGGGCAGCAGCGCCAGCAGGAGAGGAATATAGCCAGGTGGATGGACACCAAGTCAGGGTCAGGAGTTACAGCCTGTGGATTCGGCAGGCTCCGGCCCCGATTTGGGTGGGCCTAGTTGGATGCTAAGTGGGTGGGCTGCGGCCCACTTGTGGTTATGCCCCCCCACCTCTTTCCACCCCCGCTGCTCCTCCTCTTCCCCAGTGCCTCCTACACGCTGCGGAACAGCTGTTCTGTGGCAGGTGGGGGTCGGGGGGAGGTGCTGACCTGTGGGGCTGCCAGTGGATGCTGAGCACCCACTGTTTGGTTTTTTTTCCATGGGTGCTCCAGCCCCAGAGCATCCATGGAGTCAGCGCCTATGAGTACTCAGATGTTCAAGCTAAAAACTCACTTTATGTGAGCCTCTGCAAATAACTCCCTTGTTGTGCAAAGTGACCATACAAAAGAGGGCAGGGCATGACCCAAGCAAACTCACTTTAAAGCTCAAGCCAATGATTACAGAAGAGTTAAGAGTAGTTGCCCATCTTTAATTGTAGTGTTTCACCAGGGAGACATCTGCATCCCTTTGTTCCCAAAACACGCCTAATGTGGCAGCTTCCTACTTATCAAAGCGACAGGGTGTAAGGTTGAGCTGGGAAGCGGAGCACAGCAACTACGCAGTAAGTTTGGACCTGTGGTGCAGCATTCAATCCTGTCAGGCCCTCAGGCAAGCTGTTCCCTTCCTTGTTGCTGGTAAGAAATGCTGAATTAACAGCGCAGAAGTCTTTCAATCACAGGATAAACGTATGGACAGCATAAGTGTAAGCTTTGCAGGACTGCCCTGCCAAAGCATTTTAACCCTGTTCTGGAGGGACCACCCTTAAAAGGAGAGAGTAGCTATGTCTGCACCATTTCCATATGTCTGCACCATTTCCATTCAATGTCTAGACCAGGGGTCAGCAACCTTTCAGAAGTGGTGTGCCGAGTCTTCATTTATTCACTCTAATTTAAGGTTTTGTGTGCTAGTAATACATTTTAACGTTTTTAGAAGGTCTCTTTCTATAAGTCTATAATATATAACTAAACTATTGTTGTATGTAAAGTAAATAAGGTTTTTAAAATGTTTAAGAAGCTTCATTTAAAATTAAATGAAAATGCAGAGCCCCCCGGCCCAGTGGCCAGGACCCGGGCAGTGTGAGTGCCACTGAAAATCAGCTCGCGTGCCGTCTTCGGCACGCGTGCTATAGGTTGCCTATCCCTGGTCTAGACTCTGCAGAGATGGCCAGTAAGAGGGCCAGCTCTGCTGGTAACTTGTCATGTACATATTTGTCTGTCACAACTTGGACTGAAGCCACAATACCCATTTTGCATAGTGATTGCCCCTAGAAAAGAGGCTGTGATATCCCATTACAAACTCAGACTCACCCAGTCCCCATTAATATCCTCAGATTGAATACAGGTAAACAATTATATGAATCATTTAGTTCTGCAAAAGATGTTTGTTTTTGAACTGAGTGTTGCTATTTAGCCCCAGGGCAGGGGGAGGTGTCGGAGCACCACCTGCAAAGCGACTCCAGTGTTCGGTATCCTTTACCTTGGACTTATCAAAGTGATGTCTGATCCCACTCTCTCCCCTTGTAGGAGCTTTTCTACTCTCACCTCATCCTTGCTACAGGCAGTGATGGGCCTTTCCCTGGGAAGTTTAACCAGATCGTTGACATGGAAACTGCCATTCAGACTTATGAAGACATGGTCAAGGAGGTGAGATTGAAAACCATCAGTGGAAAAAGTGATGGGTGGCTCTGTCCTTTTGAGAAAGATATAAGAAATTATAGTTATGGTCAGAGCTCTTATTGGTATTCAGATGAGGGAGGATGAAACTAATGAGTGCTGGCAACATCCAAATTTGGAGTTCAGGGGTGAGTGGGGTGTTATAATGCAGTGGTGCTTGGATCAGAGAGCGGGCTAGCAAAATGGATACATTTTATTTAAATCAGATTGAAGTTTTTTTTCTTTTTAAAAATGAAACTTTAATTATTATTTTAGACCTTAACACATTTTGTATTAATTTCAAAACTTTTAAATAAATACTGAATCCATGATCCTCCATCAAAAGTTGAGTTAAAAGCTGCTTTTTAGAGAGAACTAGGGGAAAAACATTCTACCTTTTGAGATCAAACTTTATAAATATGGCACAATGGTCCATGTAGTGTATTAAGGGATCGATCTTGTGAGGGACCCTGTGGCTGTGCTGATGGGTGTGAGAAACTGGTAAAGTCATCACAGGTGTTGGGACGCAGCCTCACTCACTCTCTCCAGGAGTCACCATCGTGTATCTCATCAGGATCATCCGTTGAGCCCACCTGGGTGATCTTCTACTCTTATTTATAGTGTCTCCCTACCTGAGTGCTGATAAGCTCCGATCTCAAATTAGGAATACGTATGACTCCACCCGCCATCAACACTTTCCAGCTCATGGAAAACATGGATCTGCCCAGTAACTACCAGCCCTTGCTTCTGGTTGGTTCTGGGCACTTCAAGTAAATGGCGTTGTCCAGTCTCCTTGCTTATATATGCAGACAGATATAAATCCATTAATTTCTCAACTGCCTTCTTCTGTCTCTAAACAAATAAAATATTGGAGTGCAAAAGAGATTTGGGTTACACAAGCAGAAGTCTTGGATTGTAATTTTTTTTTGGTTTGTGTGGGGATGGGGCCGGGGTGTAGCAGAATGCACCCCTGAATGTACACCCTACACACTATTGTAGTAACCTTTGTACAAAATATGCCTTCTGAGTATCATCTGAACTAACTCACTAAACTTCGGTAATATCATGATGAAAAGTGTGTAGTAACAAATCGAAATTAGATTTGAAATGTATTTATCAGGCAAGTCTGGGTAAACCAGTTTCTCAAAGACAAAGGACAAGCTGATGCCTCTAGATGTGTGTCAAAGTTGATGTGCAATCTCGTGTCAAGTGGCCATTGTATGGCAAGACAGGGTAAAGCAGGAACAAACAGATCTGCATCTTAGAAAACATGAAACCTTTCACCACAAGACTCCATAACTCCAGCCTCACAGCAGTAATGAACTTTATCTAGGGGTAAACCTCAGGAAAATGCATTTTAGAGGGGGACAGGACTACAAAGTGAGGGGCAAAACACTCGAAGATACCTTTTCCTATAAATCTTTTTTTTTCACTTCAGATAACAAAAGGAACAGCCTTTGGGAGCAGATCCAGGCATGAGAATTTGGTCAGCAATGTTACTGGGAACATGTGTAAGGGACTTCACCTTGAATCAAGCCTAGTTTAAGTTTTAGTACTAGGAAGTGTTTTACCTTATAACCATTTGAGTTTGATCCCTTATACTTGTATTTAAAACTTCTAATTGTAGTTAAACTTGTTTTATTTTTTAATTAAACTAATCCAGTGTTGTCTAAACTGAATTGTGTGGGTAACACCATTTATGGTAGCAAATGGTTTAATATTGATCCCTTTAGGGGGGCAACAGATCTAGTATCTGGGCTGTTCAGGAGAGCACTAGACAGGGCAGAACATACATTTTGGAGGAAAATCCAGGACTGGGATTGTGCTGGGGTCACTCTGGAAGTGGGAACCACAGCTGGAGGAAGCCAGAGTGTGACTGGTGTGTGGCTGACAGGCTGCAACTACACACAGACACTTGGGGTGTAACCTGCATACTAGAAGGCTGTTTGTGAGTGGCTCAGGTGGGAGTGCTACAGCAGCAGAGCACTGTGAGGCATCCAAGTTTGCAGGGCAGGGGTGACACAGCCCCTCACTGGTCTGGAGTGTACCCTGGCATGTCATAAGGGGAGTCTATAACAAGGGAGCAGGAGCAGAGTGTGCAACCAGAAAGGAGCAACACTGGTGTCAAAACAGGATGGTGGGAGGAAGGGATAGCATTCTTCAGAGTGCAGTCTCTAGTGTTGATTTCAACACCTGAGAACTGTGGGGGTGGGGAGAATAGGGAAGGCCTGCCATGGTTGCGGATCATAAAGAGATCCTATCTGGGAAAATTTTCAAGAAATTCCTGTACCTCTGAGTAAAAAGGAACATGTGCCAAATGTAAACAGAGCTGCAAGGCCTGATTGTCAGAACAAGACACTGTGAAAAATGCTCTTCAGAAGACAGTGACTTTGTTTAGCATGTCTACATCAATCTGGATCAATTGGTTAGCAAACTTTATTTTTGCCCCAATTTTATGGACTGTCCACCATGTCTTACTATGCTAGTAAACAATTTAGATGGTCATAAGCTTACCTTTTGAATGGATTGCTTATGTATTTCAAAATGTTAGCATTCAAAATATAATTGGTATGCTAGTTTTTTGTGGGAATATATTAATTTCAATTTTACTGTTACTGCTGGACTTCTGAAATGATCTCTCATTGCTCAGTATAATCCAACATCCTAGTTTAACTATTCCTGTTTAAAGTTTTATTAGGCATTTATGAATTTAAACCTTTACACTCAAGATGTTTTATGTTGCTAGGGTTAAGGGTTTAAATAGACAGATAATCCTTTATTTAATTTCCCTATAAAACTGGGTTTAGACTAAATCATCATTTAAACAGTGATACACACAGCTGCAGTAGGAGGGAATCTCAGGTTTTTTTAAAGCTGTGCATTGAGTAATACTCAGTGACTGACTTTGCCATTTTGTTTCAGGGCCTAGCTTAGATATACAGTAAGAGGTTATGAATTTCCATCATCTGCTGGTATCACTAGCAGTGCTGCAATTAAACATAAAGTCAGTTTCTTGTACCAGAGACTTTCTTCATCCAATAAACCCATGGTAATCAGGACCAGCAAATTCCAGCAAGACTATATAAGTGAAAAGATTACTTGATTCACTTATGCAACAAGTCTCCTTTTCATCTAGTTCAGAACAAACATGTCATTAGCCTGGTCCATAATGATTGAATCATGTCATTGTCCACCCAGCAAGCAGACGTTGCTAGAAGACTTCTGGATACAGTGTATGAGAAGGAAAACTGAACAGTGTGCAAAAAATTGACAGGAAGCTTGTTAATCTGAGTCTTGATGGGTGGAACGGTGTATACAATGGTCCAGTAATATTTGCTTGAGACAACCTTATTTTCTGTTGTCAAACTTACAGAAACAATTAGACACTGCCCATACAGCAGAATACTTACAAGTAGCAGTAAAAACAATAACAAACTGAACAAAAATTCAAGTGTCAAGTATATAGTTTTGTCACAGATAATACTGCAAATGTAACACAGATGAAAAGAAATCTAGAAGATAATGAAGGGACCCTGAAACTTATAACATGTGCAGTACTCATTTGATGCACCTTTTAACCAAAGACTAAAGTACAACTCCAGGAATTAAGGAAAATTTTGAAATTGCAAAATACTTCCCATAATCACTTTGCTTCAGCTTCACTGAAGAGAGCAGGAAGATCCAAACTAATTCTCCAAAACGTACAATGGAATTCAGTGGTTGGCTGTTTTGAGCTACTTATTATGAACTGGCCTATTCTGATAACTTGTGAAGAATCATGGCAAAATAGATGGAGCCACAGTAGTCTACATTGGACTAAAGAGAAATGTAGAGGATATGCTGAATATACTGAAACTTCTTTTGATAACCTTGGACAAACTCTAAATATCAACCGTATCAGCAGTCTTTCTGTAAAGAATTTCAAGAGACATTGAAGAAATACCCAACAACAGTTAGATTGCCAGCAGTGAAGAAATGGGATGGATGGGATCAATCACTTACTCCACCTTGTTTTCAGGCCAACATTCTCTACCCAAAGAACCAGGGTAGATGCCTAACTGCAGAAGAAGATGGTGCTATGACATGGGTATCTTATCACCATCAATCATATCCAACCAGAACAAATTTCAGGACTGGAGGTGAACCATTCAAGCAATATGTTTGATCTTTTAAAAGTCGCAGCTGAACTGAAAGTCACTAGCTAAGCACCTGGAACCAGAACTGAATATGCAAAACTAGCTCTTGACAGCAGTAGCCTCTTCTGCAGGCACAGAGGATACTTTCTGAATTTGGACTAATTCATTTAAAGTTGAGAAATTGGGAGTTGAAAAAGCAGGAATACTTGTCTCTTCCGGTCTGCGAACAAAAATGAGGAAGACGTTGAGAGCTACTTATTGCAAAAGTTTGAAGGACAGCCGAAGTAACTGTCTCATTTTCAAAAGACTTAAGCAGTAAGGAACTTTCACTTAAGCATATTTGAATTTTTTTCCAGGCTGACTTGAAATCTGTTTAGTTCCATCACTATATAGTTAATGCCTTTGTTTAATAAATCATTTAGTTGTAAATGTGAAATGTGTTTTGATCAAGTCTATATCTAAAACATTTAAGATGGCTTTTTTAATAAACATTGTGCTGTTACGTGATGGATTAAATTCCAGTTACCATCCTACTGCACCTTGACACAAAATGGTGAATGATATTGCTTATTTACTAGATAACCTTGTTTGTGCTCATCTGTTACAGACTGAATGTACAATTAAGGATTTGAAATTATTAAGCTATATAATTGCTTAAATGTATATAGTTAATGCATCAAATCTAGAGTAAATGCTCTATTTAGTTGTAAATCAACCAGTAAAACATGTTTTAATCTCAATCACTGAGAGAGCGGTTTTCTTTAGAAAAGTACAAATGGAGAATCAGTTTAAATCAAGGCTTTCTACATGGTGATTAAATCAACAGTGGAGTCTGGACCAAGGGATGAGGGCTAATAGGGAATATTTCCTGTAGCATCCTGCATACCACAACTGAAGAATTGTGGGTTGGGACTCCGATGCCTGTATCAGTAGTGAAATAGGCCTCCTTGTAATATAGGCTATGGGTGGGGATGGTGACCATACAAAGCTATGGGCAGATTAGACCATTGGACCTTGTAACAGGGCAGCTGCCAACAGCACAGTCCCTCATGGCCAGTGGTCATGCTTCAGCACCTTCCCTGTTTCCTTCTCTTCAGGGACCTCTTTAAGAACTGTACACACCGTCTGCCCTTCCAGGCCCTATGCCAGTTCAGTGTATTCTTCTTCCATCCACCCCCTCTCCTCAGAGCTATTGAGTCACTACTCCCAGGCTTTACTTAGCTGGAGCTCAGCTTTCAGGCTCTGACTGCCAAACTCCCCTATCAGGGTCTCGCTCCTGCCTTAGCAGGACCCCTTAACCATAGTTGGTTGGCACCAGGCCTTCCAACGCTAATGGGCAAGCCACACTGCTAAACACCTCTTTGGTGATATCACAGTCAGGCATCAGCCTAGGCTGCACTGTTGGGATCTCATCCTGAAAGAAGAAAATTCTTCTACCCATTATATTAAAAAGGTGCGATGATTTTTAAAGCAGGACATGTAAAATGCTAGACCCACCGGATCCCATAGCAGCCATTTCCCTTTTGACTATTAATTGATCATCCTCCAAGTACTATTTTTCATAGTGGAAAGACATATTGCACAACGCTCCTGCACTCCTCCTTCCCCCTGCCCCCCAACTTATTTTTCTTTTTAGATGTAAATGAATGGGCCTTGCATTCTGATGGTAGTAAAACTGTGCATTAATAGGTGATCGGTGCACTTCTTAGTTAGATGAAGGCACATCATCTCATGCCTCGTAACAGGCTGCAGTGCTGCCCTACTAATGACCATCTTGGAGTGGCTTATTGTTATAGTAAAAATTCACCTGAAATCTGGTAAACAAGCTGCATTTGATGGTTGCCAGCCCTTCCCTAGGACTCAGGTATCCTAATCAATGCTTCCTGTTGAAATACAAGATTTTTTTTTTTTTGAGGGCCAAAACTGCCAAGGGTGTTTCAAGGTTAGGATGGGATTTAGAAGGTGCTTTTGGTGGGACAACTCCACCTCTCGTTCCAGAGGGTAGAAGATAAAGGGTGTTCTATTGATAATTTCTGTGTGGACACCACTTTAATAAGAAGGTCTTCCTACATGTTGGGAAGGTGCACAGCTGGTGCTGCCAGAATGAGTGTTCTGGCTGAATGCCTCATTCTAGGTTACTTTATGTATGAAATAATGCAGCAAGGAGATATGATTTTGTTTGTTTTTTGTTTTTGCAAGCTCCAGAAATCTCCACGTATCGTGATAGTAGGCGGTGGTGCTGCTGGAGTGGAGATGGCTGCAGAGATCAAAACAGAATATCCAGCCAAAGAGGTACAAGAAACAACTTGCACAATAATTAATGCTCCACCAGCTGCTTCCTTCATCTGGTGACTTAAATGTGTTCTTCCACAATGCCCCTGCTAGAGCAGTTTGGGATTGCCATAGCTAAACTCCCTCACAACCATTTTCCATAGAGCCTCATATTCAGCAAGGTTGGAAGTGGAGCAACTGTGAGCGCCCTCGCAGCCAGCATTCCTGCAGTGCGTCCTGGTGCTGGGGTTGGCTGGAAGCAGAATAGCTTAGTGTTCTTCCCGAGATCCTCCACTCACCCATCCACCCTACTCTGCCTTTCTTGCCAAGAAATGCATGCTGAAAGCCAGAAGCCTAAGCCTTGGCTATTGCTTTTGCCTGTTTGCTGGGACAGCAGTCAGACGCAATCCTGTTTAAATAGTATTTGTTCCTGGCTGACTCAGATTTGTTTTCTTATTTGTATTTCCCCAGTTGGCTGTAGTTATTTTGCATTTGTCCGCAGGTCACCCTCATTCATTCAAAAATTGCACTGGCTGATGTGGAGCTTCTACCAAGTGTCCGGCAGATGGTGAAGGAGATTCTCCTCAAGAAAGAAGTGCGTCTCTTGTTAAGTATGTTCTTAACCAATTTCATTTAATATTTCTCTAACTCAGATTGAGTCTCTAAAAATCCTCAAAGCTTCCTCCCCTACTCCCCCATCTCTAACTCCTTCTCCTGTAAGGAACCGTTGTCTCTGATGCTTGTTTTTGGTGAGGAAGACTAAACAGGGCTCTCATAGATTCATAGACTTTAAGGTCAGAAGGGACCATTATGATCATCTGGTCTGACCTCCTGCACAACGCAGGCCACAGAATTTCACCCACTCACTCCTGTAACAAATCCCTACCCTATATCTGAGTTATTGAAGTCCTCAAATTGTGGTTTAAAGACCTCAAGGTGCAGAGAATCCTCCAGCAAGTGACCCATGCCCCACGCTGCAGAGGAAGGCGAAAAACCTCCAGGGCCTCTGCCAATCTGCCCTGGAGGAAAATTCCTTCTCGACCCCAAATATGGTGATCAGCTAAACCCTCAGCATGTGGGCAAGACTCACCAGCCAGCACCCAGGAAAGAATTCTCTGTAGTAACTTAGATCCCACCCCATCTAACATCTCATCACAGGCCATTGGGCATATTTCCCGCTAATAATCAAAGATCAATTAATTGCCAAAATTAGGCTATCCCATCATCCCATCCCCTCCATAAACTTATCAAGCTTAGTCTTGACCCCACTACTCCCCTTGGAAGGCTGTTCCAGAACTTTACTCCTCTAATGGTTAGAAACCTTCATCTAATTTCAAGTCTAAACTTCCTAATGTCCAGTTTATATCCACTTGTTCTTATGTCCACATTGGTACTGAGCTTAAATAATTCCTCTCCCTCCCTGATATTTATCCTTCTGATATATTTATAAAGAGCATTCATATCTCCCCTCAGACTTCTTTTGGTTAGGCTAAACAAGCCAAGCTCTTTGAGTCTCCTTTCATAAGACAGGAGATCCATTCTTCGGATCATCCTAGTAGCCCTTCTCTGTACCTGTTCCAGTTTGAATTCATCCTTCTTAAACATGGGAGACCAGAACTGCACACAGTATTCCAGATGAGGTCTCACCAGTGCCTTGTACAGTATAATGGTACTAACACCTCCTTATCTTTACTGGAAATACCTCGCCTGATGCATCCCAAGACCGCATTAGCTTTTGTAACGGCCATATCACATTGGCGGCGCATAGTCATCCTGTGATCAACCAATATGCCGAGGTCCTTCTCCTCCTCTGTTAATGCCAATTGATGCGTCCCCAATTTATAACAAAAATTCTTGTGCATGCATGACCTTGCACTTTTCACTATTAAATTTTATCCTATTACTATGCCACAAGTACTCCTGTTCTTCTTTTTGCGGATACAGACTAACACGGCTGCTACTCTGAATCCAGTTTACAAGGTCATCCAGATCTTCCTGTATGATATCCCGGTCCTTCTCTGTATTAACAATACCTCCCAGCTTTGTGTCATCCGCAAACTTTGTTAGCACATTCCCACTTTTTGTGCCAAGGTCAGTAATAAAAAGATTAAACAAGTTTGGTCCCAAAATCGATCCCTGAGGAACTCCACTAGTAATCTCCTTCCAGCCTGACAGTTCACCTTTCAGTATGACCCGTTGTAGTCTCCCCTTTAACCAGTTCCTTATCCACCTTTCAATTTTCATATTGATCCCCATCTTTTCCAATTTAGCTAATTATTCCCCATGTGGAACCGTATCGAATGCCTTACTGAAATCGAGGTAAATTAGATCCACTGCGTTTCCTTTGTCTAAAAAATCTGTTACCTTCTCAAAGGAGATTAGGTTGGTTTGGCACGATCTACCTTTTGTAAAACCATGTTGTATTTTGTTCCAATTACCATTGACCTCAATGTCCTTAACTACTTTCTCCTTCAAATTTTTTTCCAAGACCTTGCATACTACAGATGTCAAACTAACAAGCCTATAGTTACTCGGATCACATTTTTTTCCTTTCTTAAAAATAGGAACTATGTTAGCAATTCTTCAGTCATACGGTACAACACCTGAGTTTACAGATTCATTAAAAATTCTTGTTAATGGGCTTGCAATTTCATGTGCCAGTTCCTTTTAATATTCTTGGATGAAGATTATCTGGGCCCCCCGATTTAGTTCCATTAAGCTGTTCGAATTTGGCTTCTACCTTGGATGTGGTAATATCTACCTCCATATCCTCATTCCCATTTGTCATCCTACCATTATCCCTAAGCTCCTCATTAAAGACTGAGGCTACGTATTTGTTTAGATATTGGGCCATGCCTAGGTTATCCTTAACCTCCACTCCATCCTCAGTGTTTAGCGGTCCCACTTCTTCTTTCTTTGTTTTCTTCTTATTTATATGGCTATAGAACCTTTTACTATTGGTTTTAATTCCCTCTGCAAGGTCCAATTCTACATGGCTTTTGGCCTTTCTCACTTTATCTCTACATGTTCTGACCTCAATAAGGTAGCTTTCCTTGCTAATCCCCCCCATCTTCCACTCTTTGTAGGCTTTCTGCTTTTTCTTAATCATCTCTCTGAGATGCTTGCTCATCTAGCTTGGTCTACAACTCCTGCCTATGAATTTTTTCCCCTTTCTTGGGATGCAAACTTCTGATAGTTTCTGCAACTTTGACGTTAATTAATTCCAGGCTCCTCCGCCTTTAGATCCACGAGTTCTTCAGTCCAATCCACTTCCCTAACTAATTTCCTTAATTCTTTAAAGTTAGCCCTTTTGAAATAAAAAACCCTAGTCACAGATCTATTTTTGTTTATCCTTCCATCTAGTTTGAACTGAATTTGCTCATGATCTCTTGAACCAAGGTTGTCCCCTACAACCATTTCTTCTATGAGGTCCTCAGTACTCACCAAAACCAAATCTAAAATGGCATCCCCTCTTGTTGGTTCAGCAACTACTTGGTGAAGTAATCCATCAGCTATTGCATCCAGGAAATTCTGAGCCCTATTATTATTATTAGCACTTGTCCTCCAGTCTATATCTGGGAAGTTTAAAGTCTCCCATGATCACACAATTCCCATTAGTGTTTACTTCATTAAAAACATTAAAGAGGTCTCTATCCATATCCAGATCGGATCCCGGTGGTCTGTAGCATACCCCAAGCACTATCTCAGGGGAGGCTCTAGTAGCTTTCTTCCCCAATGTGATTTTTGCCCAGACAGACTCTCTTATCCATTTCCATCAGTTTGTATTTCTTTACAGTCTACCTCATCATTGATATACAATGCTACTCCACCACCTTTGCCTTTATTTCTGTCTTTCCTAAACAGCACATACCCTTCAGTACTCCAGTCATGACTACTATTCCACCACGTTTCTGTTATCCCTATAATATCACTTCCTGCACCAGTAGCTCTAGTTCTTCCATTTTGTTACCTAGGCTTCTTGCATTAGTGTACAAGCATCATAATTTTTGCTGTTTGTCTTCACTGACATTCTTTACCCGATTAGGCAAAGACATTCTACCACCAGTATCACCTATTAGACTGGTATGTACACTACCCTTTCTCCTTATGTCCATTCTCATACCCACGGCTGTATCCTTTCTTACTTCGTTTTCTTCCCTCTCAATGTTAAATTCCGGCGTGGAGATTACCTGGACATCTCCCAACCATCTCCCCCAAATTCCTAGTTTAAAGCTCTCTTAATCAGTTGTGCCAGCCTCCATCCTAGAATTCTGTTTCCCTCCTTACTTGGGTGAAATCCATCCCGAGAGAACAGTCCTCTCTCCATGAATGTGTCCCAGTGGCCATACATCCCAAAGCCCTCCTTATAGCACCACTGCCTGAGCCATCTGTTGATCGCCATAATCTTGTCACACCTTTGTTGCCCTTCTCTAGGAACAGGCAGAATCCCACTGAAGCCTGAGCCTAAGCTCATCTTATGCCAATTAACTCTCACCCTGTCCCTGCTTGCGCTTCTGCAGCCTTAGCACCTCTTTCTGAGCTCCAGCCCTATCATTTCAGTGTCTCCATCTCAACTGAGCTCGCTCTGCCAGACCAACTCAGTGCCTCCCTCTCACCCTAAACCTTGTTCCTGCTTGTGCCACATCAGCCCCGCCCTCTCACCCCACGTCCTATTTCCACTTGTGCCACCTCAGCATCTCCCTGGCACTTTCCTTTATAAAGAAAATTAATATTAATATAATATTCAAATGAATAAGGAACTAAATCTGAATGGCTGGGACCAAATTTTGAGACTCTGTGATTTCTTGGGTCACCCCCACAGTGACCCAACCATGCAAATGTTATATGTTGTGAAGTAGATGTGACATGCTATTCTCTAACCCAAAGGTTTTATTTCTACATTATATGCTGCTACATACCATGTATCCCTCCACACCTTCTATTTTACAAAAAGCACTTGTAGGGTGTGTTTACACTTGGAGCTGAGGGTGTGATTTCTTGCTTGCTTAAACATAGTTGTACTAGCTATCTTTGAGCTAGCCCTCTACATATAGCAGTGTAGCTGCGGTAGCATGGGTAGCAGTGAGCAGCAGCGTAGGCTGTGCCAAGTACAAATCCACCTGAACCCCCTGGGCATGTAGTCAGCGTGCCTATCCCATCCTGCTGTTCGCCAGGACTCTCACTACCCTGCCTACGCTAATATTTTTTTAGTGCAGGGGTCGGCAGCCTTTCAGAAGTGGTGTGCTGAGTCTTGATTTATTCACTCTGATTTAAGGTTTCACGTGCCAGTAATACATTTTAACGTTTTTAGAAGGTCTCTATAAGTCTATAATATATAACTAAACTATTGTTGTATGTAAAGTAAATAAGGTTTTTAAAATATTTAAGAAGCTTCATTTAAAATTAAATTAAAATGCAGAGCCCCCAGACCGGTGGCCAGGACCCGGGCAGTGTGAGTGCCCCTGAAAATCAGCTCGTGTGCCGCAGGTTGCCTACCCCTGTTTTAGTGCACTAACTCGATGGGATTATTTAGTCTGCAGAAGAGCAGAATGAGGGGGGATTTGATAGCTGCTTTCAACTACCTGAAAGGGGGTTCCAAAGACGATGGAGCTCGGCTGTTCTCAGTGGTACCAGATGACAGAACAAGGAGCAGTGTGGGAGGTTTAGGTTGGATATTAGGAAAAACTTTTTCACTAGGAGGGTGGTGAAGCACTGGAATGGGTTACCTAGGGAGGTGGTGGAATCTCCTTCCTTAGAGGTTTTTAAAGTCAGGCTTGACAAAGCCCTGGCTGGGATGATTGGCCCTGATTTGAGCAGGGGATTGGCCCTGATTTGAGCAGGGGGTTGGCCCTGATTTGAGCAGGGGGTTGGACTAGATGACCTCCTGAGGTCCCTTCCAACCCTGACATTAAAAAACAAAAACAAAACAAGAAACAAAATGTAGAGATGAAGTGCATGTGCCTCAGCCTACAGTCTTGGGGGTGAGAAGCAGCTAAGGTGGGGATAACCACCTCCAAAATACTGGAGAGATCTTATGTTGGAAAAAGGAGTTGTTGCCACAGGTAGTGCAGGAGAGAACCATTTTTGCATTGGCAGAGCTGGTCCTGTGAGCCATGCATGCCTTCGCCATTTCTCATCTCTCTGCATTCAAATCAGCTGCTTCCTCCTCCTTTTCCTTTCTGCCTGGGCTCTAGCAGAAGAATTGAGAGCACAGGAGGGACAGTCTCCTTGCTCAGTTTCTATCTGGCACCACAGTATCCCATGACTGCTGGGAGGAGCAATTACAGGAGAGTCCTGCTCAGCCCCTAAAGGTTTGGAATGGAGCATGCCCAGAGCAGATGCATATGAGAATTTAGCTGACACACTCTTAAGGCTCTACTGAGTATATGCAAACTGAGTTTTTCAAGGTTTATAAGCTGGATACATTTTGATGGCTGGTCACAGGAATGGCAAAAGGCATGTCTCTGACAAAAAGCCAGCCCTCCTGGCTAATTTCATGTCTTTGCTCCAAAGCATGGAGGGTCTAGTGTCTCAACAAAACAGAATGATGATTTTGTTTTTAACACTGACAAAACAATGTCCCCCCCCAACCTCCGAGTCTTATCTTCTGAAATTGTATGAACAATTTTAGCTGAAGCTTTGGGGAGGGGGAAAAAAAAATCAATTTGATGGAGGCACCCGGCATGGAAAATTTCAGCCTAATAGTTTGGCAAAGCTATATATAAGCAATTGAAAAGAGGGTCTTAAAACAGTGTCGGGCTACCAGTTCTGCCTATAATCGTATATATTGGCCAACGTTTTTAAATGTTAGGTCCTAAAGTTAGGTTCTGAAATTCACATTTCAACACCAAAGTGATTTTCAAAGTTGCTGAGCATTGGCAGCTTTCGTTGACTTCAATGGAAAGGAAGGGCACTCAGCATCACCCAAGATCCAGCATCACCCACAGGATCCGCGTGCTACAGGATCAGGCTTTTCTGGGTAATGGAAAAGTGACTGGACTATCTGCAGAGACCAGAGGCTTTGCCATTGGATGTGGAGGCATTTCACAGAAGATAAAAGGGACAGTGGGAATTCAGGATGAAAACGCGATAAACTCCAGGAAAGGAACAAATGGAGGAAACTAAATATGATTCTCTGAAATGAAACTTTGGGAGATATTTTAGTATGCCTTGCATAGAACAGATATTGTAATCTGTGTTCTAAATGTACAATCTTTATAAAAGTATTTTTGTTAAAAATGGTACTCTTTGGACTCCTTAGGCTTTGGTGCCCAAGGAAGCAGCTTACGCTGCTTAGAGCAGTGGTTCTCAACCAGGGTACACATACCCCTTGGGTACGCAGAGGCCTTCCGAGGAGTACATCAACTTATCCAGATATTTGCCTAGTTTTACAACAAGCTACGTAAAAAGCACTAGCTAAGTCAGTACAAACTAAAATTTCATGCAGACAATGACTTGTTTATTCTGCTCTATATACGATACACTGAAATGTAAGTACAATATTTATATTCCAATTGATTTATAATTATATGGTAAAAATGAGACAGTAAGCAATTTTTCAGTAATAGTGTGCTGTGACCCTTTTGTATTTTTATGTCTGATTTTGTAAGCAAGTAGTTTTTAAGTGAGGTGAAACTTGGGGATACACAAGACAAATCAGATTCCTGAAAGAAGTAAAAGGTTGAGTCACTGGTTTAGAGGGGTAGCAGCATCCCTGCTAATTATCACAAAGACCTATATGCTGCTTCTTATGACAGGTGACAGAGTCAGCAACCTGCATATGCTGACTTTAAACCGATTCCAAGAGAATATGGCAGTCAAGACAGAAAAGGGCACAGAGGTTGCTGCTGACATGGTGATTCTCTGCACTGGTATAAAGATCAATTCATCAGCATACAGCAGTGCATTTGGTAAGTTAAAACCATAGGACAGGGTGGGGCTAAGATTCTTCAGCACAGGTAATAAATGTTTTAAACTTGATCTCAATTCCATATTTTAGAGACCGTATGCAAGTGGTATTGAAATTTAACTTGGTATAGTTAGAGTACATTTAATCTCTGTGGTTAAAGCTTACACTTCAAAAAAGAAAGTGGCCCTTTGGTGGAAGTTTGTGGAAGAGGATGTATATTTATGTACTAAGTGGTTTGTATTATTTCTTCACCTTCCCCAACCATTAACTTTAGCTAGACACCCAATATATCCTACTATTGTGGTCCTGGGTGAAATCCTGGCCTCACTGAAGTCAACGGCAAAACTCCCACTGACTTCAGTGAGGCCAGGGTTTCACTCCTGCTGCTAAACTCATCTGTCAGTGCACTACGGTCTTGAGCCCCGCTACCCGTTGTTCCAGTCCTGGAGCTCTCCTGTATAGAGAATGCTAAATGTGCTAAATTGTGATTGGTAGCGTAAGAACAAATATTCTCCATGAGTGCAATGAATCCATCAATGTGCTGGTAATACTGTGCTCTAGAGACACAGCATTTGGCGGTGAATGGGGGAAATTAGGATGGAACTTTAGTAGCTGGTGCACTTAGCAGTGGGCCTATAACACTTGTAGGACTCTCCACCTAAATGTGAAGGGTTAACCCCTACTAAAATGCCTGGGTGCAGATCTTCAGCTGTTATAACACTGTCACTGAAGTCTGGAGCTATGACATTTTACGCCATTTAAGGATCTGTACCCTGGTGTTCAGCTAATCCTACTTGGTGAATTATTTAAAAACCCATGCAACAAAATATTTCCAAGGGTATTATGTTTCAATTAAAGTATTTTACATTTTAAAATTAAAAGCCAATTGTATTGTATTGTAAATATCACTCATCTGTCTTCCGTGTTTTCAAGGGGAAGACAAATAAAATGTGAGAATTAGTGCAACTGCACATGTGACTGCATTTTCTTAAATGTGTGAGTTAACAAGTGCACATCTAATTCAAATTTTAATGCCCTTAACCCACTCTTCCTTTAGACAGCATTAGAAAGGACGTAGGAATTTTATATTGTACCAGTTGCACATTCAAGTGTTCACCTTCTGATAGAAATGGTAAAGGGGATTTGAGGGGAGCAAATGCTGCCTATTGTGCAAGGAGGATCCAGAATAGTTTGGCTCAAACTGTATTACAGTTGTGTATCTGGAGAATTGTATCCTAGGTGGCCAAAATAGAAACCAGTGTTCTGTACACATACAATGAACAACTTTCAAAGGAAATTCTTTCAAGCAGCTGAAAGGCACTAGTCCTCAGAGGATGAAACCCATGCATTATCTAGTGTTTTAAAAGGGTAATTGAGTCATCCATGTGGAAAAAAGTTCAGATGCTTTATTTTTTTTAAAAAACCAGTGAAAATCACCCTTTGTTCATGGAAAAGCTATTAAAATTTCCACTGAGAAAATTCATAAAAAAAATTTCAAGTCCGAAGTGTAACTTATCACCTAAAAAATATATAGGTGCCTGAAAATCGGAGCAGGGATATGTGTCTGTGTTAGAATTAATGTGCTATAATATAGATTTGAAATTCTGTAATTCTCACTAGAAAGACTTGTTATCATTTGGCAAAACTAGGAGTGTTGTTGTTCCTCAACAACCAAATTTATTCAGGCCACCCTTTGACTCTAGTCCTGAAAGTCAATTCAGAGAGCCTGATACTAAAGTTAGCATTTTCAGATCAGATTCTTGACTTGTGTAAATTTTCATAGCTCCACTGACTTCAATTGAGTTATGACTATTTACAGTAGCTGAAGACTTGGCCCATTCTTTTCCTGGTTTGCATACACTGTTGGCTCTCGGGTGATATTACCCGCTGAAGTATCAATTAAACATGATTTATCATGCATCATATAGGAGTGACTTCTTACATGGCGAGTGTCATTCTCTTGCTGTGGCAAATATAAGTTACACAACTACTTTACTGAATAGTTAATGATCTAGCTTTTGGTAGTGATTCACCTGTATGCGCTGTGTCACTGGATATGCATTGTTTTTCAACTCCTCAGGCCGTAAGGTGATACACTTCTTTTTTTTTTTAAACAGGGGACAAGCTGGCGAGTAATGGTGCTTTAAAGGTCAACCAGTACCTCCAGGTGGAAGGGTATGATAACATCTATGCTATTGGTGATTGTGCTGATGTGAAGGAACCGAAGATGGCATACCATGCTGGGCTCCATGCCAATATTGTGGTGACAAACATCATCAACAGTTTGACACAGAAACCTCTTAAAACCTACCAGCCAGGTAAAACTGGGCTCTGCTCATAACAAGTCTTAGCTGATGAGATTCTTTCTTCATCTCTATATAGAATTACTTTGTAAGAAATCCATAACTTGCACAGGACTGTATTTAGAGTTGAAGGAAATAATTTGGATTTGAATATTATATCACTGATATTATTCTTACTTTCTTCCTCTTAAAAAATATTCTTGCCAACTCTTCAGCAATTCTTTTGACACAGAAACAAAACAAGCACACTGTTTGATTATTCTGTACTTTGAAATGTTCTTCCCCTTCGCTGCTGATTGATTACTGTTATATTGGTGGGAGGATATGGTGGTTACAGTTTATAAAGGAAACCATTATCTTAATGAGTTGTTTATCAAACTATGACATTAAGTCCTTGGAACAGCAAAATATCATGACTTAACTCTTATGACCCGAACCTGCAAAATCTTAATCACATGCGTAGTCTTTTATTATGCAATTAGTCCCATTTAAGTCAGTGGCATTTCTTGTGTAAATATTTACCAGTAGCCTTCCTTGCTAGTTGCTGTAGCAGTGGGATAATAGGACATCCAGAGTGCATTGCCCATTTGCTCTTGATGCCCGTCTGTGTACATATTCTCTGGAATCGCTTTCCAGATCTTCTTCAATTACATTTCAGGGGCTTGGATGGACCCACTCTAATGCCAAGGCTTAGGACAAGAGGTGCATACATGTCACGATGCCATGTGCCTAATTTTCCTCTGATTTATATTACTCTAAATCATGAATAATTCCATTGAATTCATGGAGGTACAGCAGCGTAAAAGATAAGAAACAGTCCTCTATAAATGGAAACATCTGTTACCTGAAGGTTAACTCTGGTTTAGGAGAGAGGGAGAAAACAAGGTTCTCTTGTTTCATCTCCCACCCTTATTTCCAAATTATAAGAATAAAGGATATAGCTGTGCAAAAGCATCATCAGTGTCTTGTGTATTCTATGGTTCCTTGGCATTTGCAGCAGAATTTGCCCTTTGTTGGAGAACTAGGTTCCAGAATCTCAGCTTTCATAATAATAATAATAATTAATAATTACAATAAAAAAGGTGTCTACCGCTGTGGTTGCAAAAACATTAAAAATGTGAATCGAGTGCAACTGATGCCCATTTAAGTCTGAAAGGAGCCTGAGACTCTGATTGTGAGGTTGTGAATTGACCAATTTAGCTAGTGCAGGGCCCCATGGACTTTGTGATTCCACAGCTGTGGAATTTAGCATTTGTCCAAGATACTATAGAATTAATTCATTTTGCTGCAGCCTGGTACCAAACATTTTGTTTTCTCCCTCGTGGCCGTGAAGGACCTGTGTGGAAGTCCTCCTTGCTCTGTACAAGGGGGAAGTAACTGGATAGCAGTGCATGCTTCCTTCATTGTTATGTAGAACCAGCCAGTGTGGGGTCTGGGAGCCAGAAGTGCTGGCTGGACAGCTAGACTACTTGGCGAACAGAGCAGTGGCTGAAGTCCATGGAGATGAGAAAATGAATTGTTGAAACTGACAAGCTTCCTACTTCCCTGGCATACAGGGAGGAGATTCTAAGCCAGGCTGCCCAGAAAACCCTATGACTGAATCCCCTAGAGCTGGGCATTCTAGAGAATCAGCAAAAAAAATCTTTTATTTCTTGCCATGTAATTTGGTTCTATTGTGCTATGAAGCACACGGGTGCTGATCATGCTGTTTGATCTCATTTGCAACTTTTTGACGGCTAACTGTGTATGTTTCTCACTTCTAGGATCACTAACCTTCCTGCTCTCGATGGGCCGGAATGATGGGGTAGGCCAGATTAATGGATGCTACGTGGGACGTCTTTTGGTGACTATTGCCAAGAGCCGGGACCTTTTTGTTTCTAAGAGCTGGAAGACTATGGGACAGACTATGCCCTGCTAGATAGAAAGGACAATGATGAAGTAGCAAGAGAATACATGTATCAACTGGCATGAACAAAGCTGGAAAAGAGTAAAAGGTGCATAATTACCAAAATGACACAAGCTATATGGCTATTTGACTGATATCAATACTGCACCAAAACATCATGTATTACGAATGCCATTCTTTAGCATGGTGCATAACAACAACACAAAGCCCTCTTTTTAAAGTGGCTCTCGGTTATGTTAAGTGGATCCGCACAGAAACTGTATTTCTTGCTGAAACTTTTTCAAAACACAATTCGTGCTAAGATGGAGCTGAGAAAGGAATCCAGTTTAAATGTATTTTAAATTAAAATAAGTAGCAGAATAAGATGTTTTCAAAAGTCCATTCATTTTTGTCTACCAGTCCTCTCTTTGAGTGAAATGTGTGATATGTTGTCTCTGCAAGTCCACTACCCTCATTTGCTATTTTTGCTCAGTTTGGTTCAACAGCAAATCCTATCTCTTCACAACATAGAGAGCTGCTTTTGCAGAATTTATAGTCCAAGTGAAGGCCTTGGATTGCTTAAGTCTTCAAGACAATAATACTCTGAGTCTGGCCCTGAGACACACTCAGAACAGATGGCTGCCATCCTGAATTGATGCACAGCATTGCACCCATTACCTGGCAAAAATTCCACACAGGGTTTAATTCAGTGTCTTTTATATGGAAGTATTTTGTGGCCACAGATTTGGTACTATCTGTACACTAAGTATTCACATGTCAAATATTTCCACACACTGGAGGTATTGTTGACTTTCATTTTAAGGCAAAAGTGTCTGCAGTTAGGGTACGGTTTATAATAAATACTCTTGACACATATTTTCTTTTCTTTTTTCTTATAAAACAAAAAACAAGATGAAATATTCTCAGTAATTACAGAGATTATTATGGGGTAAAACAAAATAGAAGGTCCTAGTACATCTTTAAAATTCTCTCTCCAACATGGAATGTAGACAAAAAAAGTTAACATTTTGCCATCCACCCTCAAAAAAAGAAAGGGGAGCAAAGAATTGTGTGTGTAAAATTCAAAGCTACAAATCTAAAATGAGTCCTAAACTAAAAAAGCAAGACACATTTAAACAAACTTTTGAAGAGAGCTGGCAAATTAACTACTCAAGATTTCTTTAAGGTGATATAAAATGGTAGGGGGTATCTATAGCAAGAATTAATCACAGACTAAACCCTCTCCTCCATAGCAAAGCTCTCCATTAAGTCACAAAACATCAAACTACTAACATATTCCCCCTCTTCACCACATTTTAAAAATAAAACCCACCTCTAATTCTTTAATGCTACTCAAATTTATGTTGAAAAATAAAGCTTCATTTGGCTGCCATAGCTACTTGGTGTCTAGCTTGGCCATTTCTTGCACGTAGATTCCGATGCTCTCACTGTCAAAGAGCAGAAAGTAAATGTTCTTCAAGGAGGAAGAACTAGTGTCATCAAAATGGGTGGAAATGGCTTTGAGAGTCACCTGGGCTGCGGTCTGTTTTGGGAAGCAGTTTCTATGCAGCAGAAGAAAAGGAAAAGAGGAAGTTAGTCTCAAAATCAGTCATTCTAATTGTGCATGGAAACACTGTACTCATGACACTGAAAAGAACAAAATGCATTTTCAAAATGAGTGTATATATTACATGAGAAATCCTGCATTAAGGCAACACTAATTGCAAGTATAAAACACACAAGTCAAGAAATAAAACTCTAGTTTTTCATAGCAACATGAACTCAATGACACTGTATTATACTCACCAGCAGCAGTTACTATAAGGTTACAAAACAGTTTCAATTATCATTTGTTTTCACACATCTTTCTGAAATGTTCATTTTTAGGGTTGACCTTTTCCATCAATGGTCTATGCCTACATTTGCCCCCTTCCCCTCCAGGCATAGAAGTTCAAGCAACTTCCCACTCAAAGGGGAGTGGAAAAAATATTTTCTCGGTGTAAAACAAACCGCCCCCCCCTTAAAAAAAAATACCAGCAAAAATCCCTAACATTCTTTTGAACAAAACTACAACAAAAATGTTTGAGATCTGAAACTTGGTATGGATATAATTCTCAGGACTAGTTCCTTTGCTTGTTTAGCAGGAGGTATTCTCAAATTTTAAGTGTAAGTGAAAGTAAAAGTTACTTACCTTTTTCAGTAACTGAAGTTCATTTGAGATGGTTTGTCCATATATATTCCACTCTTGGTGTGCATGCTCCCTATGCAGGTGAGATTGGTGTCTTGGCCAGCAGTGTCTGTGGGGGCTGCGCCTGTGCCCTGCATGTTCTCATGCTCCCATACGGAGGACATAAAGGATGGTGTGGGCCCAATCGTCACTCAGATCCTTCGCCACTGAGTTCCTTCACCACTGCAGAATCCCAGTGCAATAGGACTCCATAGTAGTGGGAAAGGAGGGTGGGTCAGGCAATATACATATGAATAATACATCTTGAACTCCAGTTACCTGTAAAGGTAAGTAACTTTTCTTCTTCGAATGCTTGTCCATGTATATTCCATTCTTGTTGACTTCCAAGTAGTGATCTGATGCGTGGAGGTGGGTGCTCAGAGTCCATTTAAATAAAGATTGCAGCACAGCTCTGCCAAAGGAAGCATGAGACCTCAATGCTTCCACTATGAAGTAATGGTTGGTAAAATTATGCACTAAATCCCAAGTAGCTGCCTTAAAGATGTCCAAAGTGAGAATGCTTTACAAGGAAGCAACAGAGGCTGGCTGTGCCCTTGTAGAGTGAGCTCTAATATAATTGGGGGTTCTAAACTAATTAACTCATAACAAAGCTTAAAACACCCTGAAACCCATACACTGGCCTGAAATCACTTGACCTTTTCATTCTTTCAGCTAATTCTATAAATGATATTGGGAAAGCTCTGAAGGGCTTGGTCCTTTGAAAGCAAAACGCTGAGGCCATGCAAACATGTAAAGTGTGCAACCTAGATCCTCCTTGATTAGAATGCCATTTGGGAAAGAATACTGGCAGACAGAACATTTGATTCAAATGGAAGTCTGAAACTACCTTGGGTGGGAACTCAGGAACTCTTTTCTCTTGGCACCAGGTGTATGAACCCTAAGACAGTGAAGTGTGATTTGGGAATCTTTCCACGTGTGGAGCATATCGGCAGTCTTAAAGCTAAGACGGTTTGAGCCCTCAGAAAGAAGATTCTCCACAGTTGTCTGCCAGAACTTTGGAGCCCGGGTGCCCATCCCATAATTTCTGGTGCTGTGGATTATAAAGCAGGGTCAGAAGCACCTAGAGGTACCTGTAAGGATGTTCTAGCTAATAAGTCTCCTTTTGTAACTAAAGATTTAAATTCCTCTCTGCTTTTCTGAGGTAGTTTATCAGTAAAATCCAAAAATTTGTTTTAGTTCAAAAAACCATAACCAGCAATGCTTGATAATTCAAATTTCTGAATTGTAAGATGGTAGAGAAACACTCATGACCAAATAAGTCAAGGAATTTTGGGTCCTTTTCACTTGGAGCAATTCTTGGTTGACATTCGGTGCTCAAGTAACCTCTGATGCTCTAGTCTGAGTACCTGAGGCAGCTAACTTTGGGTTGCCATACAATACCAAAGTCTCACACCATTCTCCCTCTAAGCTCCCACTGTACCCAATTTGGGCCATGGAGCCTCTTCTGAATCGGAGCAGTACGTAGACTTAGACATCTTTTTAGAAGTTCCCGGAGAGGATCTATCTTTCACTTTAGCAAAGCAGCAATGCTCCTTTTCCTCTGAGGACTTAATAATCATCCTACTGGAATCTGAAGATGGAACCTCGAATCTAGTGGATCCATAATTCACTGGAGCACTTCTGGATTATGGTGGAACTTGTCCAGCTGTGCCCAGATCAGAGGCTGGTCCCATGGAGCAGTCTAATAAAAACATTTTTAGATTTGCCTCCCTAGATTTTAAAGTCCTTTTAGAAAAGGATTTGCACACCAAGCATTTAGTGGAGATATGGGATTCCCCAAATAAAAAAGAGAGAGACAGGAATTGTTGCCTCATGAAAGAGGCAATATTTAAAATCATGTGCTTTAGGATGAGACATCCCTAGGTGCCACTAACAGGAAAAAGATCTCAGGGAGGAAAATAATAATGAAGGAACATAAAAACTTCCTAAACTACCAACAAAAGAAAGCCTATTCAGAATGTTCCAACAGGTAATTATCCAACTAACCCTACCTATCCTAATGAACACTAATAAATACCTTTTACTTTTAGAGATTATGAAAGAAGTGATACATTGAGAGGGAGACACAGGGGGCTCCATCTCACCGCCATGGATGGTGAGAAGTGGCAGTTGGGCCCTTCTGCCCCTTATGTCTTTAGGACAGAAGCACCAGGACAGTTGGCACATGTGCAGCCCCAATAGACACTACTGGCCAAAAACTCCAATCTCGAGTGCATGGGGTGCGGGTGCACCAAGCATGGAATATATATGAACAAGCACTCTAAAGAAGAGGGTCACAGTGGAGATTACACTAATTTGAAAACTAGAAATCAAATTTATTTTAAAAGCTACAATTTAATAATAAAAAGAGAGAACACTATTGACCTATCAAACCTGACTGACTAAAACACAGTCAAACCAAGGACGGAAACAGTGAATGAAACAACACATGCATTAAATTATACTCCATTTCCATTTACACTTATATCCTGATCCCTTAAAAATATGATCCTAGTTTGAAAAGTGATTATGTAAAAATAGCATATTACTTATCAGATCAGCTCTTTCTGTGCATTCAGCGACACCTGCTCATTTTAGGAGTAAAAATAAGGGTTTTTTTAACCTTTTTATTCCTATTAACACAGTAGAGCCAACACCATGAGAAAGAGTAAGATAGCGTCTACTCCTTGTAAGTAACCAACAAAATCGTTTACTTTGGTCCAATCATTTAAATCTCTACAAACTCAAACATAAAAGATCGTGCAAGTGTAACTAAGAGCATCTGCTGCACCCAGCAGGGTTGCATAAATGTAAATGAAGGCTTAAATTGGCTTGCATAAGCTTTGTTACTGACAGAGTCCAAAGTGGTTTAGTGGGCAGGCAGTTAAAAAAATAGCAAAACAGTTTTTTACTTGTCAACCAAGCACATTTGATCTGCTAATTATTGGGAGACAAACCTGCAATCCCACAATGATTTTTACAGTTGCTTTTCAGAGCAGAATTACACTCTAAAAACAAAACAATTTTTATCTAAAAGAAAAGATTTTGAACAACTATCTTGTTTAATGGGTGTTCTTGGGAAAACCTATATAAACAAACCAAAATGTACCTTCTTCTATCAAACTGCTCAGGCATAGACTAGGCACTTGGTTCACTATTATTTATATCCAATTTTATGCTGGCATTGAAGCTAACAGAGTTTTATAGTGAGAAACATCATTGTGAGATTAGGTAGCATAAAACTGAAGTAACGCAGTCGTAAATTAGGCCCAGAGACTAAGAGAATTATTCACCAACAACACAAAACATAGTTGGTAGGCCCAATTTTTGATCTACCAGATTTGGATCTCCTTTTTATTAGATTATGTTCTACATAATTTATTATAAAGTTTTTTTTATTGATAACTTCATGCAAAAATGACACTTCATACCATTTTACTCGAGAAGAGCACTTTGTGCCTGAATCTGCATCACTGAAGTCAACTGGAGTTTTGCCACTGACTTCAAAGGAAGTAGAATCTGGCCTCTATAATAATCCCCCTTCCTGCCACAGATGCCCCTTACAATAGTCAGTTTGCAATAATATATCAGCCTCTTCTGGGTAAAGACTCATACCTGCCACTGGGGAGAGGTGGAAAAGCCACGGACTTCAACTTTTTGTCTTCTGCAGCTGTTAAGCAATTCTTAATAGTTTCCTCAAGTTGCTCTTCACATTTGTCTGAACCCCACTGTGGGATGTGACAATGGATCACAAACTTTGCTGCTAGTCCACTGGACTGGCTGAGGGCAGCTAATACATAAAGAAAAAGTGATGATTAGTTTCTAATATAATCATTTTACAATTACCACACCTTCCCTCCCAAAGCACTTCACTCACAACACTAATTATTGTTCACTCCAGAAAACTGTTACAAGAACATTAAGGCTGCAAAATCAAGCACTCAAAAATTAGGGTATGTTCCAGAATTAAGGTTGCACTTGCAACTTTAATTGCCCCCCTTGTGCTATATGTTAAGATACAGTTGTTTAATTACATGATCAGATACTTGTCTTTATCCTCATGCAGTGTGTGGTCTCAGGCCTTATTTAACACACATCATTCAAACTCTGTACTGAATACAGTATTACTAATTTTCTGATGGGCATTTCTGTGGTATTCTCTCAATTATATCTGAAAGCTTCATAGATTTTTAATGAATTTATCTTCACAGCACCCCTCTGAGATTAGATAGTCTCTTTGTGCCTCTATTTCCCATATGTAAAATGGGAATAATGAGACTAAGACCAAATTCTCCAAGAGTTTTGAATGTCCAGCTTGAGGCACCTAGGTGGTGATTTTTCAGAGTACTTAATATTTTGATAGCACTTTATATGTTGAAAGTACAGTTCCAATCAACCTCAGTTGCAGTTGTGAGTGCGTAGCACTTCTTCAAATCTCTCACCAGGTGTCTCACATTGGCCACCCAGAAAATGAGGAACATACAATTAGTGCCCAACTATGAAAAGTATGGTTTAAATGACCCGCCCAGGATCACATAGGAACTTGGTGGCAGGGGCTGGAATAGAATCCAATTCTCCGGGGTCCCACTCAACTTCAAGGAAATGGATAAAGTTTGGCAAAGTTGTAAACAACTGAAAACAGGGTCTTATTTGTAGATTAGAAGGCCAGATGAAACCATTGTTATCATCTAGTCTGATCTTCTTTATAGCATAGGCTATAAAACTTTCGCAAAATAATTCCTTGACTATATTTTAGAAAAACATCCAATCTGGATTTAAAAATCGCCAGTAATGGAGAATCCACCAGGACCCTTGGGAAGATGTTCCAATGGTTAGTTACTCTCACTGTTAAAAATGTACACCTTATTTCCAGTCTGAATTTGTACAGCTTCAGCTTCAAGCCATTGAATTGTGTTATACCTTTCTCTGCTAGATTCGAGATCCCATTATTAAATATTTGTTCCCCATGCAGGTACTTATACACTGTAATCAAGTCACCCCCTAAGCTTCTCTAAATACATTGAGCTCCTTGGGCGTATCAGTATAAGGCACATTTGCTAATCTTTTAATTATTCTCGTGGCTCTTCTCTAAACCCTCCAATTTATCAACATCCTTGAATTGCAGACACTAGAACTAGACACAGTATTCACAACAATGCCAAAAACATAGTAAAATAACATCTCTACTCCTTACTCATATTATAATGGAAATTGTTAAGAAACCTTACCTATAAGTGGTGCTGCTTAAAAAATACACAAGAATTTTTTGCTCTATCACTTTAACATACAGTCAGTCACCTTTGGGATGGAGCACAGTATTTACAGGAGAGCTCCAGCCATTTAAAAAACTTTTAGTATCCTACCTTAGCCTCTAAAATAATGAAAGTGGCAATTTTAAAAATACCGACATAGCATGTGACAACACAAATGGAAAATACATTCATTTCATTGGGGTTGTTATCTTCCCTGGCAACAGGTTACCTGAATGAAGACCATTTATTTGGGACTTTTAAAACTAGGCTATTTATTTGGGGAATTTTTAAAATGAGACTATTTACGACATCCAGTCTCTGGTTTTGAGACACTAGATTGGACAATGTATTAGAAAATGTATTGTACGGAACATTGGATATAATCTTTTTTCCATCTTCAGCCCCTATAAATCAGATAATTTTGTTCACAAGTAAGATGCAACCTCCACAAAGTAAGCTCAGAGCTATACATTGCCACAGATATTTTAAAATTTCCACAAGTATTTCTTTCATAATTATATTTTTGATAATATAGCTGTTGTGGAGAATAGCAATTTAAGGAAAAAGATAATCACAAGATTTACATCTATATTTATATTCAAACAATTAAAGTACTGTTAGGGAAAACTTCTGCTTTGATTATTAGTCCTAATAAAATTGGTTTAATACAAGGTAACTTATGAATACTGCTCTTTTTATACTGAATATATTATACTGTGAGCTAGATCCTGACCTATGGCTGAGGAACACAGAATGTGCAAGTCTGGGGGGTGGAGGATAGGTCAAAGGTCATAAAGCTCACCTTTGCATTCCCCCAATCTTGGGGCTGCCATGGGCAGAAATGGTCCCCTGGTGTAAGCTAAGGCAGCCTAACTACTACCATGGGGCTAAAAAACAAAGCCATGTGATGGGCACAGAAGAGGGGGATCCTAGTCCCCTCCGTGTCATCTAGGTATATCCCCTATAACAGCACCAGTTAGGAGGAAGGCACAAGAGCCTCTACATCACCAAAAAGATTTTTAAAAAAATATTTCCTAGTGTAGACAAAGCTCTAGATTAACCCAAGAACAGATCAGAGTGGCAGGAGAAAGGAATGAGTATTTGGGAGGAGGAAAAGCTGATATATTCAAAAAGATAATATAGCACCCTTTTTACCTTCAGCAACTTCCAAAGGTCCTTGTGATTTGCGGAGCTCCTTTACTGTTTCTAAAAATTCTTTCCCTCCAGCCTTTTCCAAGGCCTTGCCTGCAAGGAAACAAAGCAAAAGGCCTTTATTTGAAACAAACAAAACAAACTGTATTTCTTTTTAAAAGGAAATACAACTGCAAATTGTTTCAAGAACAAAAATTATACATGTATTATCTTGACCCACTCTTATTCGCCAGGATTTATTTATCAATCCTAAACTGCCTGTTGTTATTAGTATTTATTTTTATTAACATTTATGCATTTTACAAGAGCCAAATGAATAAATGTTTAACATGTGTGAACTAAAAATGTACAAAATAAACATTGTATGTTTAAACCATGTGGAATGATCACGTATTCTTTACCTTGAACAAACAAAAAAATTCCCTCTTTCCTACTTCACTCAGCAAAAAGGTTAGTAAATAAACAACCAAGAGGAAATAATGTTGTATTTAACTTTTTAAAAATGCATTTTTTTAAGTGAAGCCTGTTCAGTTCTCCGGATATATCGTAAAAATGAGATTCTGACATCACAAACAGAAAGCCACCTCTATTTTTTTTTCCTGATATTATGATAATGAAAAAGTGAGAGGATATACGTGAATGGGAAATTTAAAAGGTTTAAATGTGCTAAATTTTTCTAAATGCCAGTTACATTTGACCATCATTGTTCTTAATATGCATAATTAAATTAAGTCATCTCCCGATAATATGAGATACCGGCAGAATGACCTTATTGTTAAAAGCTTGAAGTTAAGGTATGCTTTTTTGTATTGTCCAACACGTCTGCTTATTATTTGAGTTCTTGAAAATAACACAGCATGTTTTTACTGGTTTTGGTACAGTGAGTTAGTATTTCATTATTTGAAGTACCTGAACTTTAGTTCTCTATAAAATATGCCACCTTTTTTGTAGTATAGGTTTAAAGAAAAGTGTATTGTAGGGTTTGCAGTACTTGCTCCTCAGATAGCTCTGAGAAGGATGAAAGCATGGGAACCAGATATCTCATACTAGAAACTGTCATAAATAAGATGTGCACAGTATATGAAAAAATTCTAATCAAAATACAAAATGTGCCTTGCAAGAATTTTCCAAGAATACCCCAAAACTGCTAACCTAAAAGCCAGGTTCAGCAATTTAGAAGATGATACAATGCTTATTGGCAGAGATATCGCTACTCTGCAACTTCACTTCAGTTCTCTGGTGGAGAAAGGGAACAATCGGGAGAATTGTGCCAGCAGAAATTGTATTTTATTGGACTTCCAGAATCAGCTGAGGTAACTCATCCAATTGTTTTTCTGCAATCATTTATAAAATAAACAAACAGTTGAGATACCAGTGGGGATGAAATCCTTACTGAATGATTGTATAAAGCCCTGACCCTATGCCTATTTCTGGGATCCTGACTGCAACTGATCTTGGGCAAGTAACTTCACTGCCCTGTGCCTCGGATTCCCCACTTATTAAATGGGGATAATGGTACTTCCTTATCTCACAGGAGTGGTGTTAGGCTTACGACACTGATATTTACAAAGCATGTGAGATCTACAGCGAAAGACATGATAAGTAGTATTATGAATACATTTCATTTCCTTCTGAGCTTTTTCAAATGCAAATACAAAATAATTGTAATACAGAAAGGGATATATGAAGAGATTACTCACTTTGTGCAGTAACTGCAGTTCTTCGAGATGTGTGTCCCTATGGGTGTTCCACTTCAGGTGCGCATGTGCCTCTCAAGCCCTTGATTGGAGATTTTTACTTAACAGCATCTGTTCAGCGTGCATATGCACCCAATGCTTCCTCATGCTGAACACCAAGGCTATATAGGAGTTCAGGCAAACCACACTGAGTTCCTTCTCCACCCAAACATCCCTTAAGGAACAGTCTGAAGCCGAGGGGGAGGAGGGCAGTCAGTGGAGCATCCATAGGGGGACACATCTTCAAGAACCAGTTACTGCACAAGGTGGGTAACCTCTTCCTCAAGTAATGTCCCTATCGGTGCTCCACTTCTGAGCAGTATCCCCAAATGGAGGAGGGAATTTCAGAATAGAATCCAGAACTGAAGACAGTACTGCAGAACCAAGTGCTATATGGAATCTAACAGCTTGGATCAGGGCCTAATGTTTCAAAATGTATGTATTGAAGCATGTGTAGTGGCTCTACATATTTCAGATATTTGTACATTCTTCAGTAGTGCCATAGAAGTTGCTTGTGATCTGGTTGAATGTGCTATAACCCTCTGGGGGGATGAACACCTGCAACCTTATAACACAGCAATAATACATCCAGAAATCCACTTCAATAGTTCTTGACTAGAAATTGAGGATTCCTTGGATCTATCTCCAAAGGAAATGGTGACTTTCTAAATTGCTTGGTCCTATCTAAGTAAAACATCAATGCCCTTCTAACGTCCAGGTATGTAAGCAGGATTCCTATAGGGAACTATGTGGCTTCGGGAACTCCAGTAGAACTTCAGGCAAGAATATACAGACATTAAGAGACCTTGTCCTTAAAGAATGCCGTGAGATGGCAGGGGCCTGCCATCAAAGCTCCAATCTCCCTGACCCTTCGGGCCAACGTGATGGCTACTAAGAAGACTGTCTTCATAGACAAATGCAAGAGCGAACAGGTTGCCATAGGTTCAAATGGAGATCTCATAAGGTATTTAAGTACCAGGTTGAGGTCCCACATTGGCATGGGGTCCCTAATCCGGGAACAGAAATTCCCCAGACCCTTACAAACCTAGATGACACAGTATGAGCAAATATGGAGCATCTTTCTACTGGAGGTTAAAAAGCTGATATTAAGGCCAAATGGTCCTCAATTGAGCTAACTGATAACCCTGATTTCTTTAGATCCAACTGGTAATCCAGGATGACTGAAACTGACACAGATTCAAGCAGAAGGCAGCGACAACACAAATGGAAGAGTCTCTTCCATTTCTGCAGGTAAGTAGTACAGATTGATGTCTTTCTACTATTCAGTAATACCTGCTGTACTTCCGAAGAGCAGAAGGATTATAACCCTGTGAACCATCGAGGAACCACGCTCTGAGGCAGAGAACTGCTAGGTTGGGAAGAAGCATGCGACCCACATCCTGTGATAGGAGACGAGGAATGGTTGGGAGCTTGAATGATGGTTTGGCACATGGGTGAAGCAGGTAAGAGTACCAATCTTGTCTCAGCCAGGTCAGCACTGTAAGGATAACTCTGTTCAGATAACTGTCTGATCTTGTTCATCACCCTTAGTTTAAGTGGCATTGGAGGGAATGCATAGAACAGTCTCCTCCTCCAGGATAGAAGAAAAACATCTCCAAAGGAGTGGTGGCCTCATCCAGGGACAAGGATGAAATATATATTTGAGGGGTAACCTCTTTACTCACCTTAGCCTCTTGTTCCTCAATTGTCTCCTCCTGTGGGGGGGACAGGTTGGGGATGGGAGAGTTGAACAACTCTGGCCTCCCTATGAGATGGTACCAGTGGTCTGGCAAATTGCTTTTAATAGGCAGCCCAATATGCCCCATTGCGGGGCCCATATAGAAGTGGGTGTGGCACGCAGGATTGGTTCCACCACCCTTGATAGCAAGTGCGATCCTCCCTATATCTATCAGACAGAGGCTTCCTGGAGAGACATGTCTGAGAATCCTGAACAGAAATAGAAGAGACCAACTGAAAGTCTTCCTCATCTTCCTCCATCAAGTCCAATGGGGTAACACCCACAGAAAACGGTGGAAAGTCCTGCAGTACCAGAGGCGGTAATCCAGAGATCAGGGTCTCAGCACCTACAGATGGTCAGTACCCAAGAGGAGTGGGGATTCTTGCTCATCCGTTATTGAGAGGTCCCTTGTATACCTAAACTCCTGCGATCCTGAGTAAGAGATCAGTACCGATGCAGTAGCTGCATTGACAGAGTTGCTGATGGTACCACTGGTGGGCGTACAAAAGTTGATGCCAATAATACCTGGCACTGTTACATGCTTGGTGCCAAGGGTGCCAAATGCATAGGTACCGATGGCTGGGTAGAATACACAGGTAACAGCTGGGATGAACGCAAAGGTACCAATGGCTGGGCCAAACCCAATGGTTCCCATCCCAAGTGTCTATGCTCACCCTCCTTGCTCCAAGATGGTAATGAAGTTTTATCAGAGCAATGTCTCTGGGACTCCACGGACCCGCCGGTACCAGAGGAGGAGTCCTTCAAGTCACTGGTACTAAGCCAAGAAGCTGAGGCTTCAGAGACTGTAGATCTCTCCAGAGACCTGGTCATTTTTGGAGCTGGCTCCTTAAGGTGAGAGTCTGTGCTCCTGTTTTTGGAAGCTTTCCCTGACACTTCCAATGTCTCCCCTTTCTTAGGAGAAGGTTGTGTTAAGATAGAAGAGGTGCTGGATCTCTCCTGAGATAGATGAATGGGGGTGGGTGCAGAGGGAGAGGGGTTGGGAGTCTCCTGACCTGGCTCAGACGATGGTTGAAGGGAGCGTTCCAGGATTAATCTGATCTTAATCTCCCTGTTCTTCCTCGCCCTGGGTTTGAGGGCTAGATGGAAGTTGCACTTCTTGGTGATATAGGACTCCCCCAAGCAATGGAAGTATTTAGAGGGGCTGTCGCTCACCAGTATGGTCTCTGAGCAGGAAAGGCAGCGTTGAAGCCTGGAGAAGTCAGGCATGCCCTGCCAGGAGGAAACAAGTCCCCTAGACGGAAAGAAAGGAGAAATGATCCTCTCCCTACTTAACTGTACTAACTAACTATAACAACACTGAAACTAACAACTAACTACACCAAGTATTCTAAGAAAGATAAAGTGAGGCATGCTCAAGGGGGACACATCAAGGCTCCGTCTCAGACCAAGGCAGTTGAGAAGGAACTGAGGGCAGTTCATCCGCACACTCCTTTATAGCCTCAGTGTCAACACAAGGAGGGATAGGGTGCGTGGACTAACAGGCACTGCTAACTGAAAATCTCTGATCCAGGGCTACAGAGGTGCATGCGCACCTGAAGTGGAGCACCCACAGGGAAAATACTTGAAGAACAATTGATTATTTAACTGCGTTAGCACCCATGGATTCTAAAAAGATGAAAACTTTTAAAAGGCAGTAATAAAAGAGAAAGGCAGTAATAAAAGATCAACTAGGTCCACAATTAGGCTGTCTATACTACAGCCTATGTTGGCATAACTTATGTCGCTCAGGGGTGTAAATATTCCACCCCCTTAAGCGACATAAGTTACACCAGCATAAGCATTCATGTGCACAGCCCTATGCTGGTGGAAGAGCTTCTCCTGACAATGTAGCTTATATCACTCGCAGAGGTCGGTTTTTTATGCCAACGGTAGAGCTCTCTCCCGTCAGCATAGAGCGTCTTCACCAGATGCACTGCAGCAGCGCGGCTATATTGGTACAGCTGCGCCGCTGCAGCACTGTACGTATAGACATACCCTTAGTCTTAATACGATGGACCACAGAAGATTTAACAAGTCTTGACTTGGAAGGGAGAATGATAAGATATCAAACCTATCCTATTTTGATCATGGCATTTGTCATCTCATCTGTATGTTGGCTATTATTAGCAAGTCACTGATTAGCTGCAAATATCTGGAGCCTGCCATCCCTGCTCAATTCCAGCCTGGTTTTCCGGACAGAAATGAAAGAGTATTAAATTTTAGCAGTCAGCCAGTAGACCAGATATCAGTCCAATGCTAGATTTGCCTTTGCTGCTTCCAACAGAGCCTTACCTATTTCCTCCTTGAGGTCTATTTCAGCAGTTGTTGGGTGAACAATGCCTTCTACTTTCATGGAGCCAATATGGCTGACGTCACTTTGTGTCAGAGAAAGCTGCAAGATGAGAATGAGAATGTAGAAAGAATTAAACTAATAATTTTAATTGTGAAACCATTTTCATACCAAATTACTACAAGAGAAGACAGATGGACCCCACTTTCATGGGTCATTCATTTTACTGTAGTCAAGTTGTCTGATTCCAACTTTTAAACTTTACTTTTACTACTCTTAGAGTAGACCAGACCTAATTCCCCACCCACACATCAATCACAGAACTGGAAACAACCAATAATTGAAGCCTTAATGAGAGTTCAAAAAGCTATTCTACAGACTCTACAGTCTCATTTCTCTCTTTGTTCAATCTCAACAACAACAAAAAGGACAGAAATATTGAGATTATCACACAAAAAATGACATCACAGCTCTATAAGCTTTGGAAACTCACCATTTGCACGTTAAGTAGAGTTTGCTGGAGATTTGCTCTTAAATTCTGTGAGTACTTCATTTGCAGTGAGCATGCTCCCTAACCTCACTGAGTCTACCTACTTCATTCTGAAGCAGAAATTCAGACCTGAACTTCTGGATGATACACAATTGAATCTTCTGCTGCTGAAAATGCCCTTTGGTCTGGAGAAGATATGTGGGGCTGGTAGCCAGAAAACAATGAGTTTTACCAATTCCAAAGAGTGGAATTCTGTGCACTTCATTATTGAGCAAGGCCTAATAACTCTACTCTAGGAGTAGGGTAAATATCAGCCCTCCCCATTTTATAGAAGTAAATGGGAGGCTGCACAAAGTCACATCTGGTGGAATTGGGAACAGGACCCAAATCTCAAACAGAGCAGACCCAACACTCATCCACTTAGCTACACTATTGCTCCAAAAGAACCTGCCAGATTTATGTGCTGTGGTATGCAATCTGTAAATTGGGGCTACTCCTTCATATGCTAAAGCACTGGCTTAGCAGGGGCTGAAGAACCAGAAGGAGTGGGGGCCAACATGTCCAGTTTCTGGTGAATCAAACCAAATTCACACTGGAGTACTGAAACCTGGGAGAGGTGCTGTTGACTTGGTGCACAAGCCTACATGGTCCTTGTGCCTAAGGGACCCAGGCCAACAGCTGTGGGTGCTGATTTCAAATGGAGCCAGTGCCAAAGAGGGCCTGATAAAACATACATATGGCTCCAATTATTGAGTATTTTTAAAAGGTTCTGAGATTCATAAGGCAGGGCATGTATCAGAGGGGTAGCCGTGTTAGTCTGAATCTGTAAAAAGCAACAGAGGGTCCTGTGGCACCTTTGAGACTAACAGAAGTATTGGGAGCATAAGCTTTCGTGGGTAAGAACCTCACTTCTTCAGATGCAAGGCAGGGCATGCAACTCCTACGGGGGGATTTTCAGAAGAAATTTCATGAAATATATTTTTCTTTGAAAGATCCTACCCTTTAAAATGAAAAAGCTTGAATGATATCTCCATAGTTAAGTCTGTAAGAAATTATGCAGTATCTTTCAAATAGAATGATAATAAGAGGTTAAGGAAGCTAAAAAAAATCCTGACCTCCATGCAAAAAAAAAAAAGAGGAAGGAGAGAGTTTTGTTAAACAGTTTAGCTGGACAATGTGGACATGGCAAAATCCTGTTAGAAACATTTTAGAATTCTGGCCAGCCAAACTGTTAGAAATCATTTTAGCTGGAAGATTAAAACGTGGTTTGTTAACATAACGAGAAGCAGCATAGTTAGGCCTTAACTAAAACAGCCCCCTCCTCTCCTATAGCTATACTGGGAGACCCAAATCATCATTTCACTGTCACCAGGAAGAAATAATATCCAGTCTTGATCTTGTAAACCTTCAGTCTGCAGACAAATCTTATAAGGGCCTAATCCAAAACTGACTGACTTCAATGGGGTTTGGATCCATCTTTAAATCCCAAACAACTGAGCCAGAATGCTGGGGGAGAGCTTGTGTTCATGCATGATGGGAAATATTCTTTTGCTGATGTTAGACTCCGTGATGTGATCATATTTTACTATATAACATCTGTTCTCTGACTTCTATTACCTTCTGTCCTGGAACGAGGCTCTTAGAAGACAGGATGGTGAATCCATCCCCAGGTCCATCCTCAGATGTTGAATTTGAGGCTCCCTCTTTTTCATTCTCCTTCTGCTTGCTCTATTGGGGGAAAGAAAGCAAAATGAAGCAATAACAGTCAGGAAAAAGAAGTCTGTGATTATAATCTTTCAAAAGATAAAAGCAATAGCCTTTTCATCTAAACTTCATAGAATGACAACCAAACCACAGCTTTTTACTACCCCAAAGTTATGTATTAGAAGACTTTTCTACTATTTACTAAACATAGGAAAAGTAAAGATGGAGCACAGTGGAGGTTTCTGGTACTGTAAGATTTAGTAATACATACATATGTCTGCAGCTTATTGAGGATTTTTGTTTTTGTAATTTTACTTGTGCTGCATTAATTTATGAGTATTCAAACTAAATAACAGCCAAATGCTCTAATTTATAAGGAAAAACAAACTGGGAGCAGCCACTAGAACTTGAAAATAAATCATAATCCAATGGCGCCTTTATCACATAATTACCCATCACACAACCACTCAGAAGACCTAGATAAAAAGTAACTCACCAGAAACTACAATGAGGAGTCCTTGTGGCACCTTGGAGACTAACACATTTATTTGGGCATAAGCTTTTGTGGGCTATAACCCACTTCATAAGGTGCATGGAGTGAAAAAAAGTAGGCAGGTATAAATATACAGCACATAACACATCTTTTCAGGTGCTGTATATTTGAACTTGCCTATTTTTTTTCACTCCATGCACCTTATGAAGTGGGTTATAGCCCACAAAAGCTTATGCCCAAATAAATTTGTTAGTCTCTTAGCCCTGGTCTACACTACGAGTTTAGGTCGAATTTAGCAGCATTAGATTGATTTAACCCTGCACCCGTAGCTTATACAGACGAACATGGCTACCCCTCTGAAACCTGTCACCAGTAACTAGTTTTTCAAGAGTGTTGCATCTGCAAATTCACACCTGTGGGATGCACCCCTTGGTGCAGCCTAGCTTAAAGGAGTCTTCTAGGAAAAAAAACATGCCCCTCACAGCTCTGAACATTCAGACCAAAGGATGTAAGAGGCCAAGTAGAGCAACACCTCAGCTCCTCCTGCTAAACCCCAGAATTTTGAGAACGTAGAATTCAGAATAAGAGGGGAAGATGGCTAGTGATGTGAATATGTAGAGGTATTATTCTCAGGGTACGTCTATCCCCAGCCGCTAGTTCGGCGGCTGGCAATCGAACTTCTGGGTCCTACTTATCGCGTCTTGTCTGGTCACGACACGTAGGTCCCTGAAGTGCTC